TTTAAGTCTGTAAAAAAGAAATTTTTGAGGAAGAAGAAGAAGTAGTATTTTTTTTTTTTTAGACTTTAGAAACTCAGAAGCTGATCAAATATCAGGTTAAATATCGGTTGGCTGGCCGATGTCCGATATTCAGTTTTAAGGCCGATACAGGCCGATACCGATAGGGGGCCGATTATATTGTGCATCCCTACTGTCTATGATAATTGAATAATTACTTTATGGATCTCACATTGGAAAACTTTACCTCTGCATTTAACCCATCCCCTTGGGGAGCAGTGGGCTACGATTGAGGGGGGGGACCCAGGGAGAAGTGTGGGGCTAAGGGTCTTGCTCAGAGACCTAGAGTAGCAGTCAGTGGGAGTGGGGCTTCAACTCAGAACTTCAAGATTCCAAGCTCTACTCCCTAAACACTAGGCCGACAACCCTCTAGTTTCACTATACCGGTTGGGAAGGTACTTCTAGCCAGAAACTAGGATTCCTACCAAACTGTTTTAAATGTGACACCAAGTGACACATTGAGGGCGGCAGGTCTCTCCACCTCATTGTAAGCTGTGCAGATGGAGATCAAATAAATACTGTTTGGCAGTCTAAGTCGTCTGTATTATGGAATTATTTATCAAACTGTTCTCATGTTATATTCTATATTTTTGAGTCTTTAGGATGATTGTTTGCTAAAAGCTCTGTGGGTAATAAAACTATCATTTACAAGTTTCTTGATTTAAATGATTAAAGCAGGTTAGTTTTTTCACTTTTCATGAACGTGCATTTTATTGCGAGTTCACATGACAGACCATCATAAAGTGGCAGATAACTTAAGTGGTAATTTAGTTTATGCCGTTTAAATATTTTTCAGAAATAAAATGAAAAAGAATGTATTTACATTCAGCCCCTTTAATCCGACACCCCTAAACAAAATACAATAGCAGATGCCTGATTTGTTTGGAGAAATCACACACCAGTGGGGACTTCTAAAGACATCAGATTCATTTGTCAGCAGAGTAAAGGAGGCTGAATTCAAAGAAATGTTTCATTATTTAAAAACCAGAAAGCCGTTTCATGAACAACTGTTTGTTGGTCTCTAACTTAAAATCTGAGAGCAACATCCTACAGAGACTGGAAGTCCAGTACGCAGCTAACAAAGCAACCAACCTCTTGATGTCAAAGTGGGACCTCTGATGGTTTTTAAGCGCCAGCAGGTTGTAGAAGCGTTTCAGACAGATGACACATCTGAATACTCCAGTTTTGTGGGACTTTTTATGGTTGAGCAGGGAGCCGGCGTGCCTGTATGAGCGCCCACACTGGTCACATTTAAACTGACGATCATCGTCGCCGCCGGTCTCTATGGTGAGATTTGCCTCTTCTTGCTGGGAACTGTCCTCCACTTTAATCTCCTCCTTACAGCTCGCCGACTCCTCTGTTTTAGCTGCTGCGCAGCCATGGCTGTTTAGATGATGGTAGTTACTGCAGGAGATGCCACAGCTGCTGCAGATGATGCATGCTTCCTCTTTACTTTCTAAAATGCTACTCTTCACAGTCAAATCCTCCAGAAAGTCTGCCTGACCCTTCATGTGTAAAAGGTGATGAGTGATGAAATCCTGCCTGCTGAGTAAAGTTTCCCCACATGCACTACAGATTGTCATCTCTCCCAGCTCATCATCTTTCGTCTCTTCATTTGAGCTTTGAGGAGCATCACAGGAAAGCCTGTGCCCTTGCAGATGGCTCCTGAGATCCGTCATGGTGCTATAGCTGTTTCCACACACTGAGCACTGATACTGATCTCCATCATCATCTTCATCAACATAATCATCTTTTCTGTTTCCGTTCAGAAGAGCGGTGCTTATGTTTTCCTGTTCCAAGTGGCTGTGACTGCCATCAAACTCCAAGTTTATCTCTGGATTTTCAGAAGTGCGTTGGTTTAAAGCATCTACATGATGAACAGCAGCAGATCTGAATGGGCAGCTGTGAGTCCTGATGTCTGCTACGTCTGCAAACGTCTCTCCACAATCTGCACACATGTGCCTCGGCGTGGGGGGAGGTAGACATGCTATGTCCTGATTGGACTGCTCCTCGCAGATCGCTCCACTGTAGTCAGCCAGCTTCTCCTGATCTATACTAAAAACTGGCCTTTTTGGCTCATTTAGGGAGTAAAAGCAACCCTGCTGCCTATCCGGAGTCAGAGGTTCTGGGGAGAGCCAGTCCTGCTCTGCTTGGTGGTGGAAAGATGGCCGCTGATTTCTGTGAAGACGGAGATGACTTTTCAGAGCAGCCAGGTGAGGATAGTTCTTACAGCAAACAGAACATGTGTAAACCCCCACCTGATGGGATCTTTTGTGATTGATGAGACTCCCAGAATGCCTGTAACTTTTACCACAGGTGTGACATTTGAAGGGTCGCTCCTCGGAACCTGCAGCTGGGTTTTCTTCAGTTTTAGCTGTGCTGTTGGTGTTTTGTGATGGCACACCGCTTGTTTCGATTACTGAGGGGCCTCCCTGAGGGCCAATGATAGGTGGTTCTTTATCATGACTGTTAGTTGTATTGTTTAGTGCTTGATTAAAGCCACTGGGATGTTCTGTAAGTGACAAAGGAGGTGCATTTTCTACAGGAGACTCAGGTGAAGCCATACTGGGTTTGTAAATTTCCATATGCTCTGGTAATGACTGAGAAGAGGTTTTGTGCATTTGGATGTGCTCCTGAAATTCCATATTATTGGGGAAAAGTGTATGACACAATTGGCAAAAATTTTCTGGGGCGTCCTGGCTGTGAGGAAGGAACTGGTCCAGTGTCTTGTTTGTCAAAGGTCCAGCTGTCAAAGTTCGATCTCTTTCTCCTTGTGCCTTGTGAGTCCTCTGATGGTTGTAGAGGGCGCCCATATTGGTGCACAGCTTAAAGCACACGGTGCATTCAAATATTCCCAGTTGGTGAGTCTTGTTATGATTGATCAGGCTTCTCTGGTGTATGTATGACCTGTTGCATAGATTACAACAAAAGGGTCTGTTCACTGCATCGTTACAGCTTTCAGACTGAGAATTATAAACACCCTCTGGCATATTTTTTATAGAAATCCCAACAGCATCTGAGTGCTCATTAAGTTGAGGCTGCTGATCACTTTCACTTTCATGTGTGGACTTTTCCTCCCATGTATTCCTATATGAATGATCCTCTGATCTTTGGGCAAGATGAACCCTCTCATGTTTGAGTAGCTGAGTTGCCAAACGGAAAGACTTTCCACAATCTGCACAGGAATGCTTTTTAAACGAACTGTGGCTTCGAAGGTGATTCTTCATGGCTGATACGTTCCAGTTTTCTTTCCCACATATGCTACACTGAAACAAACCCACTTCATGAGTCCTTCTGTGGTTGCTTAGGCTCCCAGCATGTCTGTAGCCACGCCCACATTCGTTACATTTAAATCTGGGCTCTTCTTCAGACTGGACATTTTGGGCACTTTGTCTGCAAGAAAGACTCCCTTTCCTGTCTTGCTCCGCCATTGCAAAGTAATTACTGAAACCGGTGCGCTACTATTGCACTACTTTTGTGTTGAGATGGATTAGTTATCCTCCCCATGATAAAGGAAGTTAATTCTTCACAGTAGGATTGAAGGAAGGTCCTGGGAGGCAACATATCACAGGATGTGGGAGCAGCAGACAGAAACGATGCCTGTAAGACAGTGTTAGCCAATTAGTAACCAACAGAAGCACTTTAATATGTCTAAAAGATAGAAAAACAGAAAAGGCATTATTATATGCCTTAAATTTTTTATCTAATGGTAAAAAACACACATGTTAAGATGAAGATTTCATGTCACTGAGTTGCTTTAAATTAAAATCAAAAGTATTTTATGAATCTCAAGGGGAAATTAAATAATAAATGATTAGCATTTTTTCAATCACTTCTGGAGGAAGAATTACAAGCAGCAGTCATCAAATAAAAAAAACTGGAACATAAATCTTATTATAAAGCATGAAATTATTTTTTCTTTTGCACAAACATAAATATTTATAAAACTAATACAGGTTTTCGAATGCAGATGCCGATACTGATTATTTTGACCTTAGTCTAAGTGCTCCAACATCTGCTGCTGATTCTTTCCCCCCTTAATTTAAATGGTAAAAAAAAGGACATCATGATAACAAATGTTAGAGAATGTTAGTCTCAATTTAAAACAAAACAAAAATATATTAAATAATAAAAAACACATAGACACATATAGAGGAAGCAGCAAAGCATGCTTTTCACATGATCTGAAAACAGAGCTGCTGAATGTACTAATAAATAATTGCAGATACGCTAATGTTGGCCAGGATATCAGCCGGCCTATGTATCAGTCCATCTCTAATTTATACCCCTTCAAATATAACAATTTGTCCACATTAGAACACAAGAAACAGTGAGGTTTATGTGACAAAGCAATGGGTCTGAAAAGTGTGCTGCAAGTATTTCAGGGTGTCTCTACTGCCTGACCCCCATTACTGTCCATTGGACCTAACAACAAAATAACTCAAGCTCATTCCAATTGGATGGAGGGGGTTTGCAGAAACTATCGGGTCTGAAAAAAGATAATTGTTTTAGGTCTGAACTTTGACTAGGCCATTCCACCACATACATTTGCTTTGATGTAAACTCTGCCACTATATCTCGTTGTTTTGCTGGAGGATGAACTTGTTTCTGCTGCCTCCTAGACAAGACCAATTTATTTATATAGCACATTTCAGTAGCTATATCAATAAACTGTGCTTTTCATGAAAAAAGAGCATTGAGGTGATATAATTGCAACACAAATAATTAAAGATACTAAAAAAGAATACTGCAAATAAGATGGTTATCTAAAAAATAGTTAAAGAGTGTAAATTTTTTTCCCCCTTGATTTTAAAAAAAAAACATTTCTTCAAGGATTGGCCTGAAGGGCTGCTCAGTGGCGCAGTGGGTAGCACTGTTGCCTTGCAGCAAGAAGGTTTTGGGTTTGATTCCTGGCCCAGGGTCTTTCTGCATGGAGTTTGCATGTTCTCCCTGAGCATGTGTGGGTTCTTGCCAGGTACTCTGGCTTCCTCCCACAGTCCAAAAACATGACTGTTAGGTTAATTGGCTTCTCTAAATTGTCCTTAGTTGTGAGTGTGTGCATGAATGGTTGTTTGTCCTGTGTGTCTCTGTGTTGCCCTGCAATGGACTGGCGACCTGTCCATGGTTTACCCTGCCTCTTGCCCATTGACTGCTGGATATAGGCACCAGCACCCCTCGTGACAAGCGTGTCAGGTAATGGATTGATGGATGGATTGTCCTGAATTTAGCTCTATCTAGACTCCAACAAACCCTGATCAGTACGACTTTCTATCTACCATTCTTTCAGATTGGTATAGATGTACAGCCATGTCGTGCTAGGTTTGCAGTAGTTTTATACTCTTTTTTTAACTTTAGATGATAGGTTGAGATGCTCAAATCTAAGGATATTTTATTATAAAACTTAAACCTGCTTTGAAATTTCTCCCTAACTTGTCTGCTGTGTCATTGAGCTCCATAATGCTGGTTAATTTCAAACAAATATCTTTGAGTAGAAACATAACAGCTGCAGTTAAACTATTATGATAACTTCTGAAGTCAACTGGATGCATTGGATTTTATTTACTGGTATCAGATCTTTTTAGATTTTTATTTGTAGAAAATCTTGTATCTTTTAAAACTAAAACTCAAATGAAATTGAATTCAATATTCAATTCAGAAATATTTTTTTTCATTCCAAAGGGATATATAATATCAGTATACCAACCAGGGGCGATTTTAAAATCAGAGGTTTAGGGGTGCTGAGCACCCAGAGACCTATCTGGCCAGCCATGACCCAATTAGCTGTTTTCTACATAAACATTTTCTACATTTTTAAAACTTGCTCAGTGCCCTTTACCAATTACGCATTCCATCATTCACTAATGGATCCTATCTGAGGCTTTTGCCAAATGCCCAACAAAGAACTCATAAAGCAGGATTTGTTTTAGAAGAATATTCCAACCATTTGAATGAGTTTTCATGAAAGGCTCTTTTTCGTTTGACAAACTGAGTGAGTGGGAAGAGCAGTTCTGTTAAGGAGGTGTAGTCTTATCTACTAAATCAAAAGGCACATTTTAAACTTTCGTTTTGGAAAAAGCTTGTAGTTAGAGTGGCCCAGGTTATACAGAGCCATGTCTACAGTTATGCTGCTATAGGTTTGGAATGCTGGAGGACATAGGGACCCCTTTTTCATTCTGTCCCTCTATTCTGCCATTCCACAGATGCTCTCTCTGCTTTTTCTCATAATAGCTTCTTCTGGTCTGTTCCTGTTTGGCTGTTTTTGTTTGCTTTTTTGTTTAAAAAAATCCCATATAGTATACAACAACTAAGATTTTAGGGATGTTTTAGAAGTCCCAAAAAATGGGATAAAAACGCCTATGACAGCAGCTTAAATATGGAAGTTAATGTTGAAGGTGTAACTTCAAAGAATGGAGAAAATTTCAAGCATCTTGTGCAAGAAACCACAACAATATCTATTTCCTGTCTTATTTCTCTACCAGTCAAACTTTTTTTTAATTCAGTCTTCCACCTTAAAACAACTTGAGACTGAAATTCCTACAGAAGCAGACACTTCAGCAGATGATTTTTTGAATACCAAAAAGATTATGTAATGTAATTTAAAGATTTCCCTAAAATATTCAAAAAGGATTCCAAGTGAACTGTCAGCTATTTTGTCAGGTTTACTATCCTCTTTAAAATATGTACTGTTTTTTTTTTTTTTTTTTAACAGTGTCCTGGGTGCCAATAAGAATAATTGTCTTGATACCAAAAAGAGCCCAACAGATTTTACTTTCACAAGTGGAGCAGTATGTCTATTGCCATACTGTTCCGCTTGATTTATGCATATAAATAGCTTTATTATAATTCATGCAAGGAGTATTACAGATTATATGGACACTGATATTTAAATAGAACAGGAAAGGAAAAACAGAAAAAAGGAGAATATGAAGAAAGAGGCGATAAAAAGGAGATAAAGATAAAAAAACTTCAGTCTGCTGCATCACTGGCAAAGAGATGTAAAAAGAACAGCACAACCAACGGACATGGCACAAGATATACAATGAAGTAACACCTTGATAGTATGGCTGAAGTATAAGTAGTATTATTTAATAATACTAAAATATGTACTTTGAAAGAGATAAAACACTATTAATTCTGTTTAAAACTGAATTAAACATATATTCATATATATTATTATATTAATAATAATTATATACGAATATATATATATATATATATATATATATATATATATATATAATTTGATAAAATATAATATATCATTAATATTATAATTATATATTAGTAATAATAATACTAATATTTTTCTTTTAGTTCTTCCTAGGAAGCTTATACTGTTGCACTGTACAGTGGCATATTCAGTTCCATTTCGTTTTATTCTTTTAATAAATAATGTTAATAATAAAGTGATAAATGTAACTATATCTTGCCTTCCCCCACGCCACTGCAAATCTGTAATCATTGTGGTGTTTAATTAAAGATAGAAATTTATGCACCTGCAACAGAGTGTCAACAAACAGGGAAAGCTTTTTTTTTATTATTCTTTTTTTTACAATTACCAACAAAATATTATTACCTTTTTACCGAGAGTAAAATTTGGATATAGGTTAATTTAACTATAACTATATGATACACGTTAGCGACCAACAGCTAAACAAACATTGCACCAAAGAACTGACACAGAAAAAGAAAACATGCTTCGTAGCTTAGAAAATCTTTAAAATTTTATACCTGCAGACGTTTGTTTTAATGTACCCTATACCTCCATGATTCTTCACTCTTCGTGTTATTTTTCTTTTTTCTCTACTTGATATAAAGGACGCTTTTATCCAACTAACCGTTTTTCCTCCTATTCCGGTTTCTACGTCACTCTGGTTGCTAGGAAACAGGAGATGTGTAGCAACTAAATGCTTCCCCCTTAGCAGCAGGTAGCAAGTTTAGCTAATTGCTAAATATGAAGTCGACACACTTGATAACTCCTAAATGTTTGCAAAGGAGTAAAATAAATAAAAATGTACGACAAAAACTGACCGGAAAAAGGGTTACATTTAATCACACACACCAAAAAAATATCTGAAAAGGTTTATTTGAGTATGAAAATACAGAACACTGGTTCAGAAAGATAAATAAAAATTTGGTGTTGCAAGAAATGCTACTATGTTAATATAGTAATATATATATATAATTATTTGTGAGACATCTTATTTAATTTTTCTTAAATAATAAACATATTGATGGAGACTTGGGAGTACTCGTCCATTGCTTTCGTCATCAGGGTCCTAGAGCCGACCTGACATCACATCGAGTCTCGCAGAAAAAGCTGTCATCTTTGAGGACTCTGTCTGCCAACTGTTTATGAGTCGATTCCGGTAAGAACTGCTCGTTTCAAGCTTTAAGGCATCCCTCAAGTGAATGCGAATTATTTTAGCGGCGTCCGCGCCTTAGATCTGCGAGTATGATCTCGGTCTAATTTCCGAAACCAGCGGTCCTAAAGCCAGCCATTTTGAGTCGATGAAAATGGATAGCAATATGTCAGTTAGCGCCAACAGATACATACATGTGTCGCGCACGTCACCACACCGCCAGGTTTACAAGTAGTTGTGTTAATCGTAATAGCTGTGGTGTGCAGTGACAGTCTTATCTGCACTGTTGTCTCTGTGGCGCCGACTTCCTCAGTCATCAAAGCGGTTAGCTTATTGTCCCTGAGGTCCTAATGCCAGCCATTTTGAGAATAAATAAAAGCAAAGCAATATATTTCTGCGATTTTTCTTCCAACTGGTCTATCTGACGTCATGTAATACCATCTGCAAAATAAGCAAATTAATTTCTGCAGTTCTCATCTGATTAACACGTGTCCCTTTATTTCCTGAAGTAATAATTTTGTACTTATTGCAATTTTTTTTTTTTGATATGTTTACAGAAATGAAAATGGCCTCATCTCAGCCTGACAGCCCACCTCCTGTAGAGCATTTTACTCCCCCTGATAAAGATGAAGACATTGAAGAAGAAGAGGAGGCAGTAAGAGATCAGCCTGTTAAAAAACGTGGCAGAGGCAGACCTCCAAAAGCCAAAGCCATCTTCAAATGCCCCACATGCACAGAGACTTTTAAAAGCATGTCAGCTCTGCAGAGCCACAAGCTGGCAGCACATGCAAAGCAGCAACATGCATGTTCTAAGTGCAGTAAGACGTTTTCAAGTAAAGCTCAGCTCTCCAAACATGAACGCACCCACTCATCCCAGCGCCCCTTTCAGTGCTCCGACTGTCATAAGGCTTACAAGACGTCCACAGAGCTACGCAACCACAGCCGCTCCCACACTGGGGAAAAACCTTTCGTATGCACAGAATGTGGTAAAGCCTTCATGCAAGCCATATGTCTGAGGATCCACATAACGCAGCACAGTGGAGAGCGTCCTTACTCATGTAGTGAGTGCTCAAAGAGCTACCCTACTCTGTCTAAGCTGAAGGTTCATGAGCGCTCCCACACAGGAGAAAAACCATATATCTGCGCTGAATGTGGCAAGAGCTTCGCTGATCCCTCTGTGTTTAGGAAGCACAAAAGGAACCACCAGGGGCACCGGCCATACGCCTGTGAGGAATGCGGGAAAACGTACACAGAACTGAAGGACCTGAAAAACCACGAGCGCTCCCACACCGGGGAAAAGCCTTTCCTGTGCTCGGACTGCGGCAAAGCTTTCTCCCGCTCCTCCTCCCTGGCGTGCCATCAGCGCATCCACTCTCAGAATAAACCCTATCAGTGCGAGCAGTGTGGGAAAGGTTTCACCCAGCTGTCCTCCTACCAGTCTCATCTCCGTACTCATTCAGGAGAGAAACCCTTTCTCTGTCCCCAGTGTGGCAAAATGTTCTCTGACCCGTCCAGCTTCCGGCGTCACCAGCGTGCCCACATGGGATTCAAACCTTATCCCTGCGACAAATGTTCCAAACGCTTCCGGCAGCCAGCTGACCTCGCTGTGCATGAGCGTGTTCACTCTGGGGAGCGGCCATATAAATGTCAGAGCTGCGACAAGGCCTTTGTGGCCTCCTGGGACCTCCGGCGCCACATGCTTGTCCACACAGGTCTCAGGCCATTCTCATGCACAGAGTGCGACAAGTCGTTCACCGAGCGCTCCAGCCTCAACAAACACAGACGTGTGCACTCTGGAGAAAGACCTTTCAAATGCGAGGAGTGTCTGAAGTCTTTTGTGGTGTCCTCCAGTCTGCGGAAACATGAGAAGATTCATCTTGTGGAACAATATGAACGGCAGCAGGAGGCTGATTCAGCCAACACATCCACCTCTGGTTTGACTCCCCTCACCACTCTCCCTCAGTACTCTTGTTCTCACTGTGAAACCACCTTTTGTTCATGGAAAGAACTTCAGACCCACGAAAATCTTCACTCCACCGACCCCAGCTCGACGCAAATCTGTGGAACCTGCGGCGACGAGTTTGCACAGCTGGAAGACCTGGAGGAACACATGAAGCAGCACATGCAGCTGAGGCCGCACATCTGCGACAGATGCGGAAAGGGATTCCTCAACAAATCGGGGTTGCGGAAACACCAGAAGACCCACTCCGAAAACAAACCCCACAGCTGCCCCCAGTGTGGCAAGGCCTTCCTGTTCGCCGCCTACCTTCGCAAGCACTTACGAACCCATATAGACAATGCTGCCCCTTCAGACCCAGCAGCAAGTGTTGATGACCTTAAAATTATTCACACAGAACCACTTCCCTCGTCCTCACCTGCCAGTGAGGTGTCTGCCTCAACTGTTGAAGCAGCTTCCCTATCTCTGACTGTACCTGTAACTTCTTTTCACAATCTCTCAGAATACTTGGTCAAAGATGATTGATTTAATTTTTTCATTAAAAAAATTAAAGCCTCTTGCACTTAAAATGTATTAGATTGCATGTATATGTAAAAAAAAAAAAAAAAGTCTTAACTTATAGAGGTTGCTCATTCAGATATCTGGCTATGATTTCTGTAATAAATCTGTTCCATCATATACCTTTAATATATCCTACATCTTTAAACCATTTGAACTGATAACGAATTTCTTCAATTAACCAAAAAATTGTCTGCTCATATATTCCTTCAATATTTGACATTTTTTTAAATGTACTTTGTTAAAGCAGTTTCACTATTTTAATGTTTTACCATTATTATTGTTATTCAAGTAGTTGCAGTGGAGGAAGGTTCACTGTGAAGCAGTTTTATATCAATAAAGTATAAAAGATTTTTTTCCCAACTAAAACTTTTGTTCAGTTTATGTTGAAATTATTTTAATTTTGAAGTAATTTTACATTAGGTTCATTGTTCGTAACCAAGGTTAGGCAGATATTCACTTATATCCCTTGAAGGTTTGGATTTAAATATGTACATTTGAATCATGTATGTATATTTAAATATATGTACAAAGGGTATTATGTTTTTTTTATGTAGCAATGATAAGCTTCTCAGTAATTAAAAGGCTTTATTTGCAGCAAGACAAATGTTTTCTTTAGTTATTTTGATGGTTGCCGTTGTCCTAGTTTAAAGCTCCCTACTCAGGTTCATTTAAGTCGGGACTCTGGACTGCTTCAAAAATATGATTACAATCAATCAGGAAAAAATCCAATACATATATTTAGGAGTAAAGGATCACTTTCAACCTAAGTTACAAGACGGTATGAATAATTTTGAGCTCTGTTTTAAAAAAATATATAAAAGCAAATGCATTGGTGACAGATTTGTTCTTAAAAACAGTAATTTGCTTTAATGTTCCTGTGCATTTTAAAAGGTTTTCCACACTTAACTCTACATCAAACCTAAAAGTCAAATGTTTTATTATTCCAACAACATTTCTGAAGTAGGCTACATGGATCACCAGCAGCAGCATATAAAGGCGGCATCTTATCATGCAATAAAAGACATCAGGGCTACTGCCCCCTAGGAGTATGTCCTTGGCCCATCGCTGTATGTACAAGGACTTCACCTCGGCTGATCCATCACTGAAAACTACTAAAATTTGTAGACATCACTGTCATCAGTCTGATCCCTGAGGTTGAGGAGTAGAGCAGCAGACCCCACACCTGCTGTTCAGAAGCAGATCAGGCATTTACTTCCAGCTCGGCGCTATGAGGCTGACCTGAACCTGTAATAACAGAAATGTAGGAAAAACACTTGTTTATTCATTGCTTTATAAGTAATAATTTCCTGAATGACGTCCACAGGTGATTGGGTAATGAAATTTAATGGATTCTGGCAATTTAAATGCGAAGATATGAGTTTTTACTAAATCTATTCTTGTGATGGAAATTTCACTTTTGATTAACATTATTATTATATTTAGTAAATGCCATATTCATAAAAATAAATGAAGACAACTACTAAATCTAATCTGCTTTAAAAATGAATGCAACATTCTTTGTCTTAATGAGATGTATAAAACTATCATTAAACCATTGACATCATTTGTAATACTGCAAAAACAGGTTTCACCCTGTCAATTTTTATTTATGATTGTCTCTGTTCAACTGTATCTCACCTTTGTTAATATGGTTAATATAAGTGCTTTGCCCTGTTTGATTTGTCTCTACGAGAAGTTCAAATAAAGTATGATGGAAATAAAAAAAATTAGCTACCATAAAGACTCTGATGGACAGCTAACAGACCGACTAACCATATCGGTACCATGCATATATGCATCAATTCAACAATAACTTTCTCTTTTATGCAATTGTATATTATTTTCAAGAAATATTTATAATTCCTTTTTATGCTTAAATGTTTTTCGCTGCTAAGAAGTGGAACACAGGTCAAATTCCATGTTCGTGTTGCAAACTTAGTAAAAACATTAGAATCCATTTAACAGGATGTAAGAATGCATAAAGATATGTTGTGCAAAGCCATTAAAAAAATAAAGGGAATTGTAGTGAATTCATATTTAAGAAAATCGCTTTTATAAAGTTGAGCTGTTTAAAAATGTTAAACTGCAAAATATGTAGAGATGCTGAAGCACTCAGCATCACTACAGTCTGACTGAAGCCTTGTCCAAATATTTTCTGCTCTCCCAGCACACTGAACAAAGGTCCATACAAATGCTTCCTAGACATCTGTTCAGAGTTACGTGTTGGTTTAACGATGGCTGCTCCACATAAATCGATGCATATTTATGTTTTGGCCCAGCAGCCATCATCATAATGTGCTTAATCCTATTTCACGTGTAGTCCATTCAGGTTCCTGGTTTTGGAAGGCAGGAAACCGTTTTGCAGAAATTTAATTTATGGCATTTGCATAATCCATGTGTATTTGACTGTTTTTCAATCTAGTTTTATTTTTTGCATGTAAACAACCTATATCGCTTAAGATTTACTTCTGCTCTACAATCCTAATAAAACTCTCGGTGTTAGCTGCATAGTGATGCTGTGTAATCTGCTGTATCGTGTGATGGTCTGTGCACAAATATTTAAGGTTCAGAGCCCCTGTAGTTAAAAAAAAAAAAACATGTCAGAAAGAAATGGTCATAGTTTAATGTATAACTCATTTATTTTTTGCTCCTATAGAAAGCCAGTGAGCTAAAGCCTGTATGTAACATTAAACTCCTCCATTCATGGATGTCTGGCTGTTTCTAGCGAGGTAAAGAGAGGAGGGACTGGTGTTCATCCTTCAGTGAAATGGACTTCCTGTTGCTGTGCTTCATGGTGAAGAGCAGCGCTGCACCCGCGTCTGTTAGAGACTGGTGGGAGGAGAAAAATTCAAGTCAGAGCTAAACAAAACAGGCATTTAGCGTAACCTAAAAAAAAGGGCACGATTTACCTCCGAGTCAGACATAATACTTTTCCGCTGAGGAGGAAAAAAATGACATTTAAAGGTTAGCTTTGAAAAAATATATAAAATAAATAGTATGTATTAACAGCAAAACTCACCCTTGTTAGATTCTGTATGTTATTGTTTATAGACTTCATGGTTTTAACCCAGTTTTGGTATGTCTGTTCATCGTCTGCACTCTGATTATGCTCTCTGCAAACACATTTAAATACATGCTGAATGTGAACACCAGGTCTCATTAGATGCCTTTGTGTGATCTGAGCATGAAGTAGCCACCCACTAATGCTGCCGTCAGTCGCAGCTACCTGCTGTTACTCACATTGCTCTTTCAATAAGCTTCTGCTGCAGAGCTCCCTCCTTCCAGGCGTCCAGGAAGCGGCCTCGGACAGCCAGGGCGGCACTGGCCTGTAATGAGTTGAGCTGAATGATGGCCAGAGAGAGGGAGGACAGAGCCGCTGAGCTGAGGAGGAGGATCACAGCATTTTCAGGATAAAAAACCTCAGCAACATGTTTGTCGTTTTACTGCTTTGTAAGCGCACACTCAGCCTAGTTATATCTGTGCAGAAGATGAATTACATGACCTTCAATCTGTGAATGAGGGAGATTAGACTGAGTGGTTCATTCTCTAAAAATATTAGCATGAATGGGAAATTAGAAGCAGCCCTAATGTCTATATGATCATGTCTACACTTAAAAAAATGAAATAATTTCTTAAAATGAGTGCATTTGTTCTTGAATTGACCAGGTAAGTGAGATACTTTGCCAACACAACCAGAAATTTACATGTAAAATAAGAAAAAAACAATTGCATTGTCTTATTTTAAGTGCATATTATCTAATGATCTTATTTTTAAAAGTAGAAATACTGATTCAATTGGCAAATCATTTTATTTACCTACTCAAATTATGGGCAAATACACTTAATATAAGAAATGTCCATAACTTATAAAGGCTGATGAGAAGTGAAACTCTGAAGCTCTTCAGGAAAAATTGTATTTTCATAAGTAAATGCATCAGTATCACCTGTTGGCGGTGACTTCTTTCTCTACAGTAAACACTCTGAGCAGAGCCTGTCCGTTCTTCCTGTATCTGATCTGAAGCTGCATGACGACACGGCTGCCAGAGGCTGGTGCCACAACTAAAAGGGAGCACAGAATAAACACCAATGAAGTGACGACACAGAATTTTTCCAATTTCTGGATATTGGGTTACACAGATCTGAACATACAACTTAAGATAAAATATAACCAAATATTAGAAACAAAGAAAAGGCACAGTGATTCGGTTTTCCAACAGTGGGCCGGATCTATCAAAGGTTTGCGTGTATAAAAATGTGAGCTATTACGCACGCTAAAAAATGTACAAACTGATCTATCAACAGCGTGCTAAAAGGATTTGGTCTTTAAAAC